AAACTAACTGACACGTTAAAATGTTATCAGTTAAGCGTCTCAACGCAACGAGACATTTACCACGCCAATTGTCACTAACGAGATCACTAACGCATTTTAATGGAAATTTGTTTATATATTTCCATACCGAAATGATATTGATAAGTGTTATACAAGTGCATTTCAAATCATTCACGTGTGCTTGAAGACTGTTGAAATCATCCAATATTAGATATGAAATTTATTGGATTGTGGAGAAGTACAACACGCCATTTATATTATGACATTCATTTAGAACAGTTTGGATTTTCCTGTGTCGTCTTTAGGTTTCAATAATTTAACAATCATAACTATAAGTAAGAAAAGAATGAGATGATTGGTGTAGGTACATTCATCATCTGTCGCTGTTGTATCTTAATAAATATTTTGAAGTTACTTATCACTTTTGTACAATTTTTCATGTCTTTATATATCATGTAATAAATGAAACCTACATAATGATATATTTTCTATGTTTAAATGATAACTATACCTTCCAATTCTTGCTCCGCGTCCTCTGATTCCTGCACTTTTTGCTCCTACATAAACATAAAAACACGCATCAACATTTTTTTTTTCTAAACCTAATATTTGTTTAAACTATCAATACCATGCCCAAACACAGTCAATGAAATCCTTTTCAGAGGTAGATTATTTTCTTTTGACCAGAAGATCTGTTTGAACTTTCGATACCAGGCCCAGATTGTATACTGATAACGTTGTTAGTATCCTCGGGATTATTGCTACTTTTGAGTTTTAACCCCCGGTGAAATAGGTACATAATAATGTACTTTGGAAAAGACGAATTAAGTAAAACATGATTTATTTGATGACTGATAAGATTCAAACTGTTGATAAAACCGTGAACGTTTGGATTAGGACCAAAGTCAGGACTTGTAGTATTGGGTCGTCCTGATAGAGGTGAAGGTCAATACCGGAAAAACAAATCTTGGCTCAAACTCAAAAATAACGAGGACAAAGTATGAAAAAACATTGTTAAGTAATCACAACGTTAATGCCCAAAATTTCAATTTGTAATTGCTTATTTAATAAAAAGAAACGTATTTGAAAAAAAAGAAAGAAAAAAAAATTGTCTGGTTTATATAATAAATATTTGGTTAATGTAAAATGTGAGTTTGTCAGGATCATATGATATTGGTATTAAGTTTACGTTATCAATATTGATGGTCTGGTCTATATAATAAAAATATATATGTGTAAAGTATGTCAACAAATTCATCAAAAACATACCAACATGTGAACATAATCATAATCCAAATTCATATTCGATAAAACTAGGGCAAAATATAAACGAAAGAAACATGAACACTGAGATTCCTGAAAAGTGCAAGGGGAATAAGACAACCAATATGTTACAAAAGAATAAGCGTCCTCTGCTTTATCGACAACACTCGTAATGTAAACCTTGGTCAATCCAAGTAAGCAAGGTCACGTTCTCAAATGAAAAGAACGAAAACAACAACGGAACCAACAAACACAAGCATCAAACACATCCAGCTTCAGAAACAGACTATGACGACCGTAACACTTCCGTTGTTTTCGTCAACCTGCTTGTTTTGAAACCCTGTGTTATGGTTAGACCGTCAGTTGATGACATATTGCAATCATGGTAATAGGAACAGGCCCTTGTTTGTAGAATCAAATGCGACATGTAAACACCATAGGTTTAGGATACTGGTGTATTGTTATCCAGAAATAGAAAATAAGCAACAGGGAAAGTAAATATGAATGCGTCCGTTTTATGTGATACGTTTTAATTTAATGCTATACATTTTTATGTGTCTGGTTTAAGAACAAGGAGAATTTTGCTATATTTTTGAGAGTTCAGGAGGAGAAATGTCGTTCGGTTTATCTCACTCAAATGATGTCATATCGGCAAATGGTACCCTAGTTTATAACAAAGAAATATCTTGACTACTTCCAACTGCTGAACATGTCTAACCGCATGTGACATAATCTTGAATTACAATTCTTATATTTAGTTAGTATTGACTTTCATGTTTTCATGTTTACATCCCGATTTGGAAACCCAAATGTTCTAAAAGCCCCCACGAATTCTGGTGTATGTGTGTGTGTGTTTATTTTTTTAATGATATAGAATATGCAGCTGTTTTGCCCATTTCATGATATAAAAGTAATTTTTGTGTATCCATTCATGTTACCAAGAACAGATAAGTAAATACTGCTTGTTTTAAAACAAATATATCGGTTATGAGCAAATGTTGACGATATCGACAAACAGATGTCTATATCTGTTTACAGTGATCATATTTTGATCGTTAACAATAGCGGCTTGTAGATATCTTGGATGACGCATTAGGCATATCATTTAAATTTTAATTGATCCGACAAATTATCTTGATTCTACTAGTGCACTTTCCCCTCCATCTGCAGTTCATACATCAATGCTGTAATAACATATTTCTAAAAACTTTAGGTATCACTTGATTTCAAACGAGTAGTGAAAGAAAAAACGTTTTCATTTGATTAGAGTTTTTGTTGTTTCAATTAATAAACATTTACCAAGATGTTAATTGCATTGTTTACAAAAGCATACATAGAACGAAATTACCTCCCCTGCTACATCTACATAATATCCTTTGTAAACACAAGTTTGTAAACTTGATAATAATTTCATTTCACATTTTTATGTGAAAAAACTCTTTACTTACCATCGGATTTATTCTGTATACCTCCTTTGATACCACACTGCCTTCACATAAACGTTTGTTAAAAGTCCAACTCAATAGCTTAGTCAAGATCGCATGTTATTATATATCTGATTGTGACACGAACATAATATACAGAGGGACAATGCAGATAAGCATTTATAAAGGACGATCATTTTGTCTTGAACATTCCATACACAATACTAATGATTTTGGCAAACATTAAAATATCATTGTACTAATATTCAATGTACTTTTGTAATTAGTTAATTTGTATAATTTATCAAGAAGGTTCGAAGGACATTGTATAACAATATAAATATGAGAAATACAAAATATTTAATCTCTTTGAGTATACAAATGTATTTCATTCCGACAAAAAGAACTCAGTGTTATAAATTCTGAAAAAGTACACAAACATGAGTTCATAGGAATAACAAATTAAATGTAAAATTAATTATGTTTTGTCATAGCTTAGTCTATTGGAAAAAGACAATGTGATGTTTCAGAAGCGTTTTATGTTTGGTTAACCAGTCCTAACTGATTACTGGCTTACATTACCTGTGACTTGGCTGGGTTTTGTCAATTATTACTTGTTTAAGCATTATCAGCTTAGTATTTCCTGACCTCATTAACAATGATTCGATTTTTTAGTATTTGATTTTCCAGTGTTCTATCCATGAATTAAACAAAATGAATGTTTCACCCCTTCGATCAAAAGGAGCTGCAGAACTATTTAAATAACTTAAAACAGATTCGACGATTTATCGTATTTAATCAGCTGTTACAGGGTAACTACCTTTGTCCTTTATACAAATATCTTGGTGTCACTCATCGATAAAGTCATCACTAGGCTCGGCTGTCTTCATCTAGGCAAATGACCATACATATTTCAGTATGGCAAAATGATAACCATTACGTATCTATTAACATGTAAATGACATTATGTCCATTTTGTGTACAAATGTAAAGTCGGTATGTGTACAATTTGTATCCGTTTTTTCTTCATTTTCAAAAGTTTTTGAAATATATAAACAGAAACCGTACAGAGAAATGTGTGCCCATGTTAACGTCATAAGTAGAAGAACAATGTTTTCTTTACTGTTTGGGTACAAAATGTTTATTGCACAGGACAAGCATGTAGTCAAAATACTTATGTTTTTCTCATGTAACTTATAGGACATAAACATTGTACAAAAATATGTTCGCATATGGTAACTAAATGAATAAATATTTTAAAAAAATACATAGAAATGAACAAAAAAATAAACAATGACATGTTCGCCATTATGATCATATCGGAAGATGTCCGACTCTCGTTATTAACCAGGTGCTAACTAGGAATACGTCAACTAATGTAGACTAACACAGGTAAACATGACGGATACCGTTAAGGGTGTCTTTGATGTAGCAAAAGATGCTTACTCTTCCGGAACACATGTCTCCGTGTAAATATTTCTGTTGTTCATATTTGCTCCTGTTTCATCAAATTTGAGTTTGAATCCATATCCTGTTAAAATGTCTGTGTTCATTGTTTTGCATTGTTTGTTTGTTTATGTTGTTTACTTTCGTCTTCATCTAATCCTTTATCCAATAGATTTTAATTAATGTTTTATTATGACAGGAGGAAAATACCCAAGATCAAACTGATATGTGTAATCAGACATGGACTTTTTTCATTTATGAGTCGTATATAATTTCATCATATCAATTTTACCTTTTAAGTTTTACGCCCAAATAGTTTTTCCTAAAAATAAATATAAAAAAATAAATCAGCAACAAGGACCTAGTGTACCGTACATCATATACATGTACAAATTATACCCATGTGTTTATCAACTCCGAATAAAGAAGTTTGTGATTGATAAGGTACAAGTCTAGAACTGAACTAAAGTGTTACAAACAACTCCTGTCCTTCCCGGGATTTTCAGTGTTGATAAGAGATAAAACCACAAAAGTCTAGAATGGGAACTAAATTAATGAGATTTAAAACCCTATAACACAAAGACTTTGCAAGATATTGGAATCGAAGTAATGATCGCTACTGGAAATGTATATATATGAGAGTTAGAGACTAATTAGCCGATACATGATATCAATTTATTTTAAGTGATATTATAATCATTAACCGAAAACAACACAAACTTTCAACGTTACAATGATCACATTTAATCAGATATATATCCGACAATTCCAAAAAGGTATTTCAGAAAAAGAATGATATGAATGATCTGTTGTCGTTGTTGCTGAATATTGATGGTAACCGCTGATGTCCGTGTAATGCCGGGTTACCTAATCGTTAGCAAGGATCTTGGCAAATTCTGTAACAGAAAGTAAATGTCATTAGCTATCTGAGTCTTTGTATATGCAGGCAATAATTTATTGTAAAGTATAAAACTATTATACTAGTTCTATAGAGAAAATCCGACATTAATTTGTTAAAAAATATATTTTATGGTATATCTTTTTCTCTAAGTTCGATCTACAATGTATTGTCCCTGATTGCTGATTTTTTTCTAAATGTTATAGACTACTGTATACCATACTTACTTATATATTTATGTTTATCATGAACATTTTCTAAAAGTTTTATCGTATGATTATACTAACCACCATATTTTATGTAGCCATCACCATCAGGATCAGCCTCTCTGATCAATGCATCCACCTCCTCGTCTGTCAATTTCTCCTCCAAGTTCACAAGAGCATGGCGAATTTCTGCTGCACTAATCAGACCATTGCTGTCTTTATCAAATGTCTTAAACGCGTTTAATATTTCCTCCTCCTCGTCATGCCCATCAGGAAGAAAGCGGATCATACATTCTAAAACATCCTGAAAATCTGCGGTGCCATGCCCTGAAAATGAATACATCTTGTCGTGCAGCAATTTATTTTTGTAGTTACAACTTTCCCAGTCAGGTGGGTAATATTTTTGAGTCTTCAGTGACAACAATATTACACTATTACACAGGTTTAATTAGTCAATGACAAAGTTTCATTCAACAATGCCGTAAAAGAAATCAGCTGCTCGACCTCCCAAATTTCCTTCCGCAGTAAGACCGCTCGTACGCTTCTGTCAGGGCCAACAATAGTAATAAATGTTGGCTGGTATAACCTTTTTCACAATTATTGCAATTGTATCATAATATTCTCTTTATAGCCGGAGAATGAATAAAATTACATCATGCAGTTGTTTCATCCTTCTAAGAATCGATCTGATTTGTTAGAACGTGAACAAGGAAAGTTTAAAAAATGTCCGAAATAAACGCATAAATATAGGCAGCGTTATTTTAATCATATTTAGAGAGGTTTAGGTAAAAGAGTTCTATCGCTATTTAAAACAAGAACAAAGAATGATATTTTTGAAAGAAATTGACTTTTTAAACCATGCATGTTCATCGATTTATGCTAATAATTTCAAAACGCTTTCTACACACTTTAAGGTACAGTCTCACAATAGTCAAGATACAAAGCGATAACGTGAAGTTTTAAGAAGGACACTGTGGAACAATACAAGGGAGATAATCACCTGTTGGATCCACGTCCTTCATCATCTCCTTGAGTTGGGCCTCTGTTGGAGCGGCGTTTAATGCCCTTATAATGGTAGCTATGTCTTTGGAAGCTATTGTACCATCTCCATCTTTGTCAAAGAGCTTAAATGTGTCTTTAAACTCTAAAATGAAAGCAAAATCCAATTTTGTATCGCTCTATATTTCCTTTTTATTACATTTTGTATGATGATGTTTGTTTTCAATATTTAATATGATAATTCAAATGGAATATTTTTTTGCACTGTTATCATGTTCAAAATTATTTGAAAACATATCAGTTTGAAAACAAAATTTCGTAACAATGTTGATTTAAGGGAAAATTTTTTTGTTAGTGTTTAAAGAATGAAATTTTAAAGTGTTATTTTGATGTCAGTACAGAAATCATAGACATACCTGCTAGCTGGTTATCTGTCAACTGGCTCGCCTGCAATAAAAAATAAGGGTTTTTACATTTTTCATACAATCACTAAAGTATGGTATGAATGGTATTCATATACAGCTTCTTGAAATTAAATGCAAAACATATACTTAATATACATAGATACAATAAACAGTTATGTAAAGTTTGCAAAAAGAATATAATATACATTTATTCGAGTGTCCATGAATATCAACTTCACGTACGAAAATTGATGTCAAACGAATCTTAATTCAAATAAATACATGTAATTCACAGTGTTACGATGAATTACATTTCCATGATAAAAATATGTGTTTGTTACATTATATATCAATCATTTACCTGAATTGTTTAAACTGAAGAACAAATTTATCATTTTGTAGGTTACTGAATAGATTTTCAATTTATCTCACAACTTTACGAATACTAATTAGCAGCATTAGCAACGCAAATTACTTGCCATATTAAGTTGTTGACATTCCTGGTGGCAGAAAGATGGCGGAAATGAAACAATACAAATCCACACAAAGGGACACGCACGTGCTACGTATGTATTTAATTTGACAGATGTATGAATATTGGCCCATTGAATACTCTATCTTTGATAACATTAAATATAATTTCATTTCCATTACGGTAGGATGTTACTGTTGAATTGATGTGTGATATTATCAATGGTGGTTTTGAGACTAATCATGAATATATTAAAAAAGATAGAATAAAGTAAAAAAAAAATAAAATAAAATAAAAAATAAATAAATAACGAAATAAAATTTACATGAATTACTATACATTATATGATATCACAACTGTAAGCTATACTTCAGAACTTTGATGAAAATATATTTCGTTTCAAAAATGTTTTCTGCAACAAAATGGCTCTTTTTGCATTAGAGATATAGACAGAACGTATGATATACCCCACAGTGTGGAGGTATCCATTATACAAAAAATGTACAACAAATAACATATCCATTACAATAGGTATTTCAACTTGGGTCCGTTCAATTAGATTTAATCATATTGTGCCTACTCTCCTGGTCCGTGCATTTAAATAATTCAATAGATGCCTTTGTGTGTACGGTATCATTATATGACAATCAGTTGCAACAATGACTTACAACAATGATTAATAACACTGAAATGTTAAGGGCTAAACTTTGATCAAAAGTATTGATACAACACACCTACAGGAAGGCACATGTGTCCTGATTAGAGTAGTTTCAGTAAGTTTTATAATTAGAAGGGGCAATAACCCTAGTATTGTTTTTATTTATTTACGTACATTTGTATTTCACTCATATATAAAACGGTCATTTCATATTTACCATAAATTGAAAGTAACATATAACTTTACTTTGATTGCTTTGAACAAGAATGAGGAAATCAGAAATGACATATTTTTCCTTCGTGTCGAATTCTGTTTCATTGTAGTCCTATAGTGACTTCGGTATAGTACCTCTTAATCGGAAGTCGGAAAATGGCCACAAAGAGTATCTAAGCTTCGACCTACATGTGAAGCTGACATTTCTTGTCGCAATCTAATCATGATAAATACTCTCTTCTTGTTACAACGATGAGAAATGCGGTATATGCATAGCTCATTCGTTGACTCGATAATTCATTGAAATTATACGGGATATTAGTTTCGGAGCCTGTTAATCATATTCAGATTTATCTGTACTGTGACTTCGATAAGGCAGAGAACACTAAGCTTTATATGGTACTTTGTATCATTCTCCATGTGAATCTTTCTGTTGTTTGTAGTCTGCTTTCATTTCACCAAAATTCAATAAAATTACAAGTTTAGAAGTTCAATTGTCTGTTATATTACATTGAATTAAATCATTGAAATTATTTCTGTAATATTGTGCTAATCGGGCAGATGTTGTACGTACAAACACACATATATACACGTATTTATATACACGTGTTTTTCTGAAAAAACGTGATTGGTAAGAAGGTGATATAGTCAATAGGTACCTCGAGTCATCTGAATTCCATTTTAGGTATAAAAAGAACGTCGAATTATGCATATTCACATAGAAATATCTATTGTGTCTCTTAGAACATTTTGTACTGGTATTGTTACATTACTCTTCATTAAAGATAATATATATATATGTTTAGAATTAAGGATATGTGTACGTTGTTGTACATTGAGGATTTAAATGTTTATTTCTTCTGATAGTATGAGATGAATTTCAGTGAAATTGGTAAAGATGCAAGTCACAAAATATTATCTGTATCAAGTGATCAACTAAAGTTACATCCCTAAGATATATACACTTTCATAAGGATGGTGTAATCAATGTTTATTAAACTTATATACACTTTCATAAGGATGGTGTAATCAATGTTTATTAAACTTATATACACTTTCATAAGGATGGTGTAATCAATGTTTATTAAACTTATATACACTTTCATCAGGATGATGTCATCAATGTTTATTAAACTTATATACACTTTCATCAGGATGATGTCATCAATGTTTATTAAAGTTACATACACTTTAATCAGGATAATGTCATCAATGTTTATTAAAGTTACATACACTTTAATCAGAATAATGTCATCAATGTTTATTAAACTTATATACACTTTCATCAGGATGATGTCATCAATGTTTATTAAACTTATATACACTTTCATCAGGATGATGTCATCAATGTTTATCAACTTTATATACACTTTCATCAGGATGATGTCATCAATGTTTATTAAAGTTACATACACTTTAATCAGGATGATGTCATCAATGTTTATTAAAGTTACATACACTTTCATCAGGATGATGTCATCAATGTTTATTAAAGTTACATACACTTTAATCAGAATAATGTCATCAATGTTTATTAATCTTACAGACACTTTCATCAGGATGATGTCATCAATGTTTATTAATCTTACAGACACTTTCATCAGGATGATGTCATCAATGTTTATTAATCTTACAGACACTTTCATCAGGATGATGTCATCAATGTTTATTAATCTTACATACACTTTAATCAGAATAATGTCATCAATGTTTATTAATCTTACAGACACTTTCATCAGGATGATGTCATTATTGTTTATTAATTGGTATTATATAGTTTTAGAATATCTAAAAAATATCATGAACATATATTGCTGATTTACTGCATGACTATAAAATATATGAACAGAATGATAATTACACTGCTATCATCCACTTATACTCCTTTCAGTGTTTTATGTAACTATCCATTTACTTTAAATTAAAGGTCCTTCTGAGTTCGTATCGTCGATGGTTCAACTGTCTTTCCGACTCAGGAAGGTTTTTATAAACTCTGAAAAAAGATACAAAATCATAACATCATTCTGTTAAAAACTAACATTATTGTTCACCAAAGATTTCACGTAAGGTAATTTTTATGTGTTTTTATAATGATACCAAAACGGATGTTTTGATCAAACTGGAGGAGAAAAAGAAATAATCATTATTTACACTTAATCTAGAATGGCTATATTACCTTCGTAATTTATCAACCCTTTTCCGTCCACACGTGCATCTTGTAGGATGTCGTCTACTTCATCAACTTCCAGCTTTTCTCCACAGTTCGATAGGATTCGTCGAAAATGCTCCTCTGATATCTTATCGTCGCCATCTTGGTCAATCATCTGGAATGCTGCCTTCATATCTTCAGCATGATTTACATTGGTTGGTATCAATTTTTTGAATGATGTAAACAAAGACAAAAACTCGGGAAACGTAATTCGTCCGGTTTCTGAAAGACCAAACAAAAATACAATGGCATGACAAATTTCAATAGAGAATTAGCTTTGGGTACAGTATAGCGTAATAAAACGTAAACCGTATCATAAATCTGTTCTATTTTTTTAAAGTTTGGAGGTGACTGAAGAAAGGAAGAACAAAGTCTGACTGGGGAGTTGAAAAGAAAATATACCGTTATCATCCGATTCCTGTGCTGCCTGCTGCAGTTCCTTAATTTGAGCCTCGGAAGGGCAATGCCCAAGTGAACGCAATACTAATCCCATTTCCTCCATAGCTATAGACCCATCTCCATAGGAGTCCAGCAAAGCAAATGTTTCTTTCATACCTGTATAGAATGTTGTTAACATGATCAATAGGACAGCACAACAGAAATGATCATCTATATACGATATATTTCACATGGTATGTTGTATATGGCTCCGATTTCTTTTTTATAAACCTATAATGATTCAAACCCATATACAGCAATACGGTATCCTCTTTATTTCTCATCTACGGAAAGAGCCGAGTGTTCCCGATTGTCTCTACAATTGAATTGTCTGGAACCTTTACTTATATTGTAATGGTGTACCGAATTAACATGTGTACACCTTTCCATGCTGAATACCAATCAGATTTATGATTTTATGGATGGTATTTACTTACCGTCAATTTCATTCGCCTGTTGCTGTTTAGTCGTCTGAAAAAAGGAATACAACATTTCGGTATTTTCTTTATTTAACTAGCGATATACGAGTATTGAATATACTGGTTATCAGCGACATATTGTTTTACCATCCGTAATGCATACATTGCGTTTGCGTTTTGAGCAACAAATGTGAACAAATGTCCTGCTTGAGCTTTCAGATAAAGCTTAATTTGAACAGCTACATTTTCAATAAAGGCATTATGTGAAAGAGGCTCAATGTACGATATGAAAAATCTTTACATAGAAATCCTCGAAAAGGTAACAGAAGAGCAACAGCAAGTTTTCTTGAAGGGCAAACGTCTGACATCCGTCTGTAAATCTTAGTCGATTCTAAATTAACATGGTTGATCAGGCAGACTTTGGAGCATCAAACACACTTTCGTTGTTTTCTTCGTTGTCTTCATCACACGTTATAAGGAGAATATTACAAAATAAGACAACGACCATAAAATATCCCCATAGCCTTCATCAACTTGCATCTGTCAAAGCCCTGTGTAGTAAGTCTACGAAAATCGTAACATTGGGAACAAGCCTATGGATTTCGTTTCATTTGTAGACGACTTGCAGCTTAAGTAAACGGAAATAAATGGCTCAAGATGAAAGTAGAGTTACAAGAAGGATAATTCTTCCTGAAAAAAAACATAAAACAACACACAGACATTCATCTACATTTTGTATCAACTATACCCTGTAATCTTTACGATGGTAATGCATGTTAAGGTGATGTTATAATTACCATTTCCACTTCGGTCAACTTAAGAGGCAGGAACGGAGGCCATCAGTTATACATAACATCTAGTTCTACAGAATATTACCACGTGTTATAAGGAAACAACACTAAAACATACACATACACACATGATTTGTATTAGATTTACACCCCGGCGAAGAGTACCTCGTGGACTATTTACAAATCAAGTCATGCAGTCCATTGAATTTTAAAAAGCCTGACAATGAAGGGTAACAAGCACAACACATCGTCGATACAAATATACACCAGTGTTGAGGGTTATGTACCGTCAATTCCAGTTGTTGCAAGTTATTGCTTAATACAAGTGTATCTTTACTATATTTATTGAGTAAGCATGTCATCATGAAATTATTTCTCTCAGCATTTGTTTGGTGAAGGTGACAGATATGTTTCAACTAATCTTCATTTAAACAGATGCAATAAAGGTCAGGGTTCCGAGTATTTTTATGCTTCTGTTTTTTTATAATTATTTTAACTTTTTTTTCATGTGGAATTATGACTTTACTTACTTCGATTGACCAGAATTTGCGTGTAATAGCGGGTGTAGTCGAGAAAGCTTACTCTTCAGGAACACCTCGTCTTACCCTCCTTGTAAGTTTTTCATTCACATTTTGCTCTAGTTTTATGGAATTTGAGTTTGGATTATGATTTTGGTAGTTTTCTTTTTCATCATCCTTTTGTATTTTCATCGTTGATGCTGTTACTCTCGATACAGATTTGGTATCCTGTTTGAACTTGTGTTTTTAGTATACACCCAAGAGGGAAACGACCAATCAAATACTCAAAACATTCTAAATTTTAACAAGGTCGAGCTATAGATATACATAGATATTATAATAGACATATTTATTTTTAAAATTGCGAATCAAGCTTATACCTTACATTACATTATTGTCTGGTAAATATCCACAAATTAATGCATAGACTGACCGGGAAATCGAACCCATGTCGTCTAGCTGTAGAGCCAGTACGTTACCAAAACATCACCCGAGTACCAATCAATAGATATAAACTGAATCTTTGAAATATTTAGATTGCAAAAAAATTATTACTATATAACATATCATTCTGCCAGCAAACCACCGAAAATACTGTTGATATTGATATCGTGAATAACATATACCACATTCATATCTCAAACAAATTCAAATGTCTTGGTCTTCTTAATGGAAACCTGGTGCGATTGATCATTTGATACCCTATTTGATTCGACTTATAGAGAATTATTGAAAAATTATTAAAGTCATCATTTTTGTGTCTTTTGAATGAATTCGAATGTACTAAAACAATTGTTATATGTATATATCTGACCCGATGTGTATATATGTGTATATATACTACATTTTTAAAATTCTTTTGATTACGCTTGATGAAATAAATCTGGTTAATTCTATAAATACATTTATCATCATTTATAATCATCACTATCGAATTTCTGTACTATAACTACATGTTTGTTATCAAATCTTTATTCAAACTTGATACCGTTGTCAGATTTGGGATGTATGTTCACTTCCCCATCGATGTGACAATAATTACAAGGGTTTTTCTAGCCGCAGTTGATTCGATATTCAAAGGCCTGCTGACATTATCACAATTTTCGCGCAAAGATTCGTCCAATGACGGACAGACAAGGTTTCAAAAGAAGTCGGCTGATGAAAAGTTTGGTCGTTATCGTGATCTCATTTAGAATTAATCTATTTCTTTGTGCGATAGGAAGCATTGGATGCTCTGTAATTTTACCTGTTGATTCCGTTGTTGTTCTCATCTTAAGCATGACATTAGTCTTTGACTTAGTTGAATTGACCAAGCTTTATGAAGCAGAAAGCTCCTGGACGGAACACTTGGTCTTATGATCCTTGTGTGTTTTCATTACTCTCAATGTAAACAATTATTTTGTTCATATTTTGCCCTAGTTTCATTGAATTTGAGTTTTGATCATGATTATGTTGAAAATGACTATTTTCTTCTCTCCCCATCCCCCCCCTCAACCACCTTTTCCATTTCACTTTCAATTTTGCCAGTTAAATCTCATAGAAGGATAAACCATTGTCTGTTTGACTAAATTCAAATCCGTTTGTACTTCTAATTTCTTCGCTATTGTCCGGTCCTTACTAAAATGACAATTCAATAATAATAAAAAAAAATAAATGAATAAACAACAAACTACATTTTTACAACTCTTTTTATTACGCTTGATGAAATAAATCTGGTTAATTTTATAAATACATTTACAGATTGATTAACAATATGAACATGGTTTTAACTATGTATTTTTAACGATGTATTTGCATGATTTCATCATGAAACAATATCTTCGATAACTTTTAACCAGGATTGGTCCCCTAAACAAAGTCACATTGCGTCTAGATTCCAGATGCATAAAAACTTGCGTATTCCTCCATAAACAATGCGGCCCTATCACTGGTTTAACATCATTTGCTTGAATTCTGAAATTTAAACAGATAGTCGCCGTTTATTTCATTTTAAGGTATAAAGTGTTACTTAACTCCTCTCGTTTGAGTTGCCGTCTGGTTAATCGTAAAGGAATGTAATCGATAAGAAATTGTTCATTTTTCCCGTTTTATACATACATATGAATTACATATATATATACACGTTACCATTGACTGTTTTCTTCGCTCTGACATCTTTGAGAATTTATGTTTTCTCTTTTTATTGGTTTCAATGTATTTTTTTCTTCAACATGTTTTTAAAAAATATGCAAAATAAACATATCAATATTGCAATTTTCTTAAGAAAGAACAATTTTGTGAATATTGAAAAAGATGAAATACAAAAAAGTGTACTTGTATTAATTGTAGGTATTTCTCTCACCAATCCAATGAAAGGGAAATAAAAAAAATATTTAGCATGTTTCTGAAAAAATATCGGATAAAATTTCCAGCTTTTTCAGTAATGATTTCTGAAGGAAATGAAAAGCAATTGAATATGTTGTCATTCAGGACATGTGGTATTTACACAAACCTTCAAAATCTATCCTGTCGTCCTTGTTTATGTCAGCTTCATTCATCATAGCGTCTACCTCGGCATCTGTTAGTGACTCTCCTAGGGAGTTCATTACCTCCTTGAGCTCACTCTTTGAAATGCTGCCGTCACCATCCTTATCAAACACTTTGAATGCCTCAAATAAATCGTGATGTGGATCCGAAGATTGCATCTTTTTCATCATATTGAGGAATTCCGAAAATTCGATAGTACCATTTCCTGTATGATGATAATAAGTTAATAATAAGATAGTCTTTATTAAACATTGTTTCAAATATATGAACCGAAAAACACCCAGACATGATTCTATTAGTATCCATGTACTTTCGTGCAAACCTTTGTATATCATCATCATACATCTTTGGATAATACATTTGTTGGCATGTCAGCGTTTTCTGACTTAAATAAAACATCAATGAGTTTTTCAGCAATTAAAAACTGACAAAATGAAAGCTTCAGACGAATAGAACGTAATATAAGGTAACAGTTATATGTAATTCTGCAAAGATGAAATGAGGGGTCGAAAAGAAGAAAACCAACAACGCTTCCCTCATCCTCTCCCCTTCAAAATGGTCACATACTCATCTTAGCTTTTTACATGGTAGCGGCCTTGATTCGGAAAAAGATCTTGTTACTTGTGCATGTGACCTTCATTGTGTTAAACGTTCGTTTGTATACCTGCTGGTTTGTTTGACGCTACTCCAGCTCCCACTTTGATAGCATAGCAGTATTTAGATATGATGGCCTACTTGATGTTGGCTGTCGAAGAAGCAGATCATCATTACTTACATGGTCTCCTCGTTATTTTCATGGGTCTGTGTAAGTAGTTATACGTATTCCGTCATTTCGATACAAAACAATATTTGTTTTATTTCAGACGTGTAAAGCAATGAAATTACCATCGGAATCTGCTTCATTTATCATGTCGCAAAGTTCCTGTTCTGTTGGTTTTTGCCCGAGGGATCTCATCACTGTCCCAAGTTCGTTTTCTGACACCCTTCCATCTTTATCTTTATCAAAAAGATTAAACGCCTCTTTGTACTCTGAAAATAATACATGTATGTATTGCGTATGCATTGAAAAATGAAGCAAAGTAATATTTCCACCAAAGACCAAAATTTATCTACATATCTAGTGTATCTATATATGTAAACCAAGACCTTAGTTATCGGTATGAGTAAAGAGATGTGCTAAATGTTATTGCGAATACTCTTTTCAATCTCTGTTAACGAGTTCGTGTTATTTCATCTCAAAACTTGCACACCAAGATGATTCTGAAGAAGAAAAGATCTCTCCAGTGCCTATAATGATTTAAATTTTTTAACTTTGAAGAATTTGCGACCAAGGTCAGCAATATTACAGATTTATTAGAGAGTTCATCAAATTTTTCTATTTGTTTTTGTTTAACAAAGTATGTGCTTACAAAATATAGATGATGCTTAACAAAATTTGGTATGTCTGCACACACTTTAGCAATCGAATCTCATGTCATAAAAATATCAAGCAATAGGATATTGCACATTACATGATGATTCTAATTATTTCGACCAGCTTAAGACAAAACGTAATTCTACAGGCTTCAGCAGGGTTAAAACCAGTACTGGAACTTACCCTAACGATCGCATATTTTAAATCTTTTCTTCTTTGAAGGAATATTTCGGTAAAGATTGCTTCTATACAAGAGGTATTCTTAAGAGGTTAGCCGATCAAATAAATTTCATAAGCCTTGCATGATTGATAAGTTTTCTTTTTTGGCTTCAGACTAAAATGCGGGGAAAATGCGTAAAATGCATAAAAAATAGATAGAAATACATTTTGATATTAATAAATATCACTATGCAGACAGACAAAATGCGCTCATCAATGTCAGCTGTGCTTTGCTAGACATTTATGAAATTTTGCGATGCAAACTAATGATGGTAAAGCAAATAAACGCGAACAAAAATTATAATGTTCTTATTTACCAAAATGATACAAAGGTAAATCCTCCCCTAGTCCCAAGTTAAATCCTTCAATTTGACTTTCAGGTATGTTGATGACTTATATAACAAGTGATTTATTGATGTTATATATACCCACCAGAACAGGAAATTAAGAACTCTTCTACAACAGCCACTTACCTCATTCTTTTCTGATAATGAATTCGAAAGGAACAGCTTTCTATCAAGCTGTATGATGAACATGCTGATTTCAATTTCCGTATTGTGAATTTTCCATTTCTGGACAGCAACACTCCTACATCTCTAATCTATGGTGTGTAAACACCGCAGCTTATTCGACATTCATGGACTTATTTAGAGTATCACGACAGAAACACACAACACAATGTTGTGAGAGATGCAGTTTGATGGAGATTATGGGGAAGTGACCTAATTTGAAATGCATTCATTTTGCGATAGTTGAACGTGTTTGGTGATCATGAGTGTGCTGAATGCACCTAGCTCTCATTTGAGAACATGTCATTACTTATTTGATTGACCATAATTTACAATACGGGTGTCGTCGATGAAGTAGCAGACGCTTATCGCTCCAGAACTTCTGGTCTTACTGTCTTTGTACTTATTTAGAAGTATCCGCATAACTTTTGCTCTTGTTTTCCTCATAGTTTCATTGACCTTGTGTTTGAACTAATATTTTATTTTAATTTTATTTTACTATTTTATTTTTGTTGTTTTGTTGTTTTTATTGCTGTTTCCCTTCCTCTTTACCGTATTACGCAACATATTTGAATTAATGACAAGTAGACATATATTTAAGTACAACATCAAAAACCTATCTGTAAGCCTGTAATACACACATGTACGATTCTGTTGACATGTTGGTTTTTCTTACATCATATAGAATGCATTTGTGATTCCAATGATTCCAAATTTAATCAAGTGTACGTGATTAGTGCTCATCATATACAACCCGTATGACAACATAATGTATAACATATTTATGTTAAACAATTCCTTGACAGTTATAATGATATTGAATAATATATATGAATCCTATCTTACCTGCAATTTCACTTTCTGAAAGATCTTCCTGGATATAAGAAAAGAAAACATGATGTAGAAGAGGATAACATATGAATGCCTATATGCATCAGATTTGTTTCTATTATGTATAAATTTTTTGATCGAATTATCAAAAGGGTCATTTTACCTAACGCTAACTCAACATTAAATTTCACACAGGATGAGAGATGTTTGCTGCAATTTCAAGAACAAGCCAATACAATCATATAATACGACGGAATATATCCCCAAGATATAATCAGCAGTTATACGACTGTAAACATTGGTCGTATGTTGATCAGGTGCACGTCCTTAAGAAATTGTAATCCGTACCATAATTTTCATTCTTATGCGATAAAAATTAATTCAAATCAATATGCATGCGAATCACGACCGAACGTGCTTATAAACACAAAATAAACACTTACCATAATATCAGAAGGACTGAGGACAGACTCCAGTCAGTGGTTATATTCACATGCACGAATATCTACAAACAACCACTAGTATATATTTCTGTTTTATCAAATAAGATTCTTGTTTTGATGGTCTTTAATCGACGGCACTGTTCTTAAGTTTAAATGATTGCGCACCGGTAGATAACAATGAAACAATCATACCGCAACACTCTAGTGATTTTAAATGACGCCTTTGTAAGAAATTATCTTAAACTTTGTTGGTTAACGGCTTTTCAACAATAGCAAAGTATTGATTACCATTTAGTTGTCTTCACAGAACACATTGACCGTTGGTGCTCGTTTGACGTACATAGTCAATATCTAAAAGTCTACCGTTATATACCAACATGTCAACATGCCAAAGAAGGGAACGTCAGTATTTCTATAACAAACCTATTCAATTTTAAAATTGAATAATATATGTTTATTTCGCGATTATTCGTTTTTCCCTTTAGCGCTGCTACTGTCATCGAAACCTAACACGAAATGTTGATATTTTGAATGAAAGTGGATGGAATAACAGGGGAAAGGGGCACCATTTGACAGAAAAAAAGACATCCATTTCGACACCTGCAAACATAATCGGATACGGTACCGCCTTCTGTTCTTACGTATCGGATTGATAATCCTACAGAAATGTGATAATCCAATCATCTAAGTTACTTGAATTCTTCATCAATTTACGTCTCTCGAGACCAAAAACGTCATTAAAATACCAACAATTCAACATGATCATAATTCAAACTCAAATTCAATAAAAGAAACATTTACACGTAGACTCCTGAAAAGAACAAGGAAAATAAAATTAGGTGTTCCTGAAGAGTAAACGTCTTCTGCTTCATCGACAGCACTCGCCATGTAAACCTTGGTCAATCTTATTAAATAATGTCACGTTTTCAAACAAGATCAAGGTATACGACAACGGAAACAAAAAGCGAACTAACGTGTATCAAACGCGCCAAGCTTCATATCGCACAAAGGAACCAACAGGTAAACTAACGAGTATCAAACGCGCCAAGCTTCATATCGCACAAAGGAACCAACAGGTAAACCAACGAGCATTAAACATGTCCAGCTTTATATCGCACAACAGACCAGCAGAAAGACTAACGAGCACCATACACGTCCAGCTTTATATCACACAACGGAAACAACAGACAAACTAACGAGCATCAAACACGTCCAGCTTTATATCGCACAACGGAACCAACAGACAAATTAACGAGCATCAAACATGTCCAGCTTCATATCACACAACGGAAACAACAGACAAACTAACGAACGTCAAACTCTCCAAGCTTTATATCACACAACAGACCAGCAGAAAGACTAACGAGCACCATACACGTCCAGCTTTATATCGCACAACAGACCAGCAGAAAGACTAACGAGCACCATACATGTCCAGCTTTATATCGCACAACGGAAACAACAGACAAACTAACGAGCATCAAACATGTCCAGCTTCATATCACACAACGGAAACAACAGACAAACTAACGAACATCAAACACGTCCAGCTTCATATTGCACAACGGAACCAACAACAAACTAACGAGCATCAAACACGTCCAGCTTCATATCCCACAACGGAACCAACAAACTAACGAGCATCAAACACGTCAAGCTTCATATCACACAACGGAAACAACAGACAAACTAACGAGCATCAAACACGTCCAGCTTCATATCACACAACGGAAACAACAGACAAACTAACGAGCATCAAACACGTCCAGCTTTATATCACACAACGGAAACAACAGACAAACTAACGAGCATCAAACACGTCCAGCTTTATATCGCACAACGGAACCAACAGACAAATTAACGAGCATCAAACATGTCCAGCTTCATATCACACAACGGAAACAACAGACAAACTAACGAACGTCAAACTCTCCAAGCTTTATATCACACAACAGACCAGCAGAAAGACTAACGAGCACCATACACGTCCAGCTTTATATCGCACAACAGACCAGCAGAAAGACTAACGAGCACCATACATGTCCAGCTTTATATCGCACAACGGAAACAACAGACAAACTAACGAGCATCAAACATGTCCAGCTTCATATCACACAACGGAAACAACAGACAAACTAACGAACATCAAACACGTCCAGCTTCATATTGCACAACGGAACCAACAACAAACTAACGAGCATCAAACACGTCCAGCTTCATATCCCACAACGGAACCAACAAACTAACGAGCATCAAACACGTCAAGCTTCATATCACACAACGGAAACAACAGACAAACTAACGAGCATCAAACACGTCCAGCTTCATATCACACAACGGAACCAACAGACAAACTAACGAGCATCAAACACGTCCAGCTTCATATCACACAACGGAAACAACAGACAAACTAACGAGCATCAAACACGTCCAGCTTCATATCGCACAAGAAAGACATATTTCTTCATTAGCTGTCTATGACGACCTTAGACTTCCCTATAATTTTCGTCAGTCTGCATATGTCATTTGTCGACATCTTGAACGAAAATCGTGGTAATTGGAAAAGTACTTTGACTATCGAATCAACTGCGAAGTGTAAACCCCACAGGTTGGGAATGCAGGAATGTTGCTATAAAGAGATGGAAATTTACTATAGGAAAATGGAAACCAGCACGCTAATCATACAGCTTGATTGAAAGCTAGTTTGTTGCTAAATTCAAATTTCGTATGTATCATAGTTTCTGGGATATAGACAAGAATAATGCTAGTAATAGTTTGTTTTGTGTAGTCGACACATATGAAATAGACCGAACGGTGTAGAAATAAAAACGTGCCCTCTCTGTCCTCTCTCTCAACCCCACAACCTTTTCGTGGATAAAGATTTTCGTGATAAGTGTATTACAAGAAGTTTGTGTCGATTAATTCTCGCGAAGCAAACTATTATAGTATATAGTTGGTTTACAGTAGAGACCTTTGTATCACATGTACTATTAATGTATAGAATATAATTTACATTGTACAACACACTCAAGTGAATAGCACTTTTTAATGTATATTTAGAATCGGATATAGAAGAGCAAAATAACGAATTAAACCAAACATTTTTGTCTCGACCTTGAAAAGACTAACGAGGAAAACCCAAACTGATCGGTGGAATTTAAAAAAAAATAGATGGACAAATGCACTGGCAATAAAAACATTTCGTCATTTTCATACAACTGATCATTTCAAATTAACCTAAGTGCATGTACACCGTGCCACTAGCCAAATTAAAACATGGCATTCAGAGTACGACTAAACGTCCACAAGAAATGTCTACCAAAAAACAAACCGCGGTGATTATCACAGTAGCTCGATATTGATATGTATGTCCATTTGAAATAATGATTGATTATAGCTAGAACAAAACAGATCTTGTGACATATCAAAGGATCTAATACCTCGGTATTATGCCTTTATTGAGATTTCTTCAGCTGCGTGAAGATATACATATTACGTAACAGTAATATTTATTTCACTGATACACAGATAAAAATATCAACCCTACTGTCTCCTTAGTTGAAAAAATTATTCATTTACAGACGGGGATGTTATTTCACGTTTTTCCTATGATAGATGTTGTTGGTCTATTTTAAAATCAAATATATATCATTTATAACAAATAAGACTGTTATGGGACACAAAACATATTAAGGAGTCAAGAATGAAATTATTTTACATTGTTCTGTCTCTATTAATCGAAATATACCTGGTACAAAATAAACTTTAGTATTCTTTGTGTTTACAAAACACCTTTAGAACCTTTTAACGTTTTGATATTTTCGATTTAATGACCTAATCTGTTAACATAGCATTTAAGCCAGACAGAGTGGTCTCCCGCCTTTTGTTTAACAAAGAGTAAGAACTGTGTGGTGATATCTGTGTGACTGGTAGCTATTTTTAGTAACTTATTTAGTCACATTACATCTCAGTTAAGTTTTCATTTTATATGAGATCTTAAACGAGTGTTAGAAGTGACTGTGTTATGTCTGCGAGTCATGGCGAGCAAAACTTAACGTGGCGTCTCACAAAATCCAACATGAAATGGAGATAAACCTAGGATATTTTTAAACATCATTTTGAAATCGATGTTGTTGCACCATTTTCAAATCATAATATAACGCCATTGGCCATATCATGTCATCAATATCGATTTCTGACTGGCATAGGAGAACATACGTTCTCCAGGATATATCACAGGAGTGACATAAACAAAACAATATTACATGAGCGAGTTCACCAAACAACTGGTGAATGATAAAACCATTAATATTAATTAAATGGGAAATGTCTTAGTTCATACTGGAAAGGAAATTCATTTCGGTAGTTTTAATTTTCAGCGTTTCCGTGGATGGAATTTAAAACAAATTCATTTTCTAAAATAAGATTGATAAAGAAACCGACTACTTCTGTAAACAGACCGCTGTTTAAGATTGTAAAGTTGCCGTTTTTACAGTACCCCTTTAATTATACCAATACTATTTATATAACGAATAAACACTATAACAACATATAATAATTACTGAATTGTAGAATTTAATTGTCATTCAGTGTGTTTACATATGACCATGTGTATAGCACCTCCATCTGTCGGCCACCACGAGCAAATAGGAATTTCCAGTGTGTAGACGTTGTGATAGATAGTTTGAGACATCACAATACCATCACTGGAGGCGTCAAGAAATCTTCAAGGGCGAGAACTCCTTAAATAAGCATGAACTAAGCCACTTACTGAGTTTATTCAAAGGACTTTCTGTCTGGCAGGAGGTAGTAGCTCACTACCTTCACATGTTTACGGTAAGTATATGGGTTGCAAATTCTGAAAAAATCAATTTGAATACTATATCAAGTTTTATTCGTTTAATGCATTTGAAACTTGAGAATAAGTTTATACTAAAATAGGATACATACGATGTGAAGCAAAATCTTACCTCGAGACAATAATTATTTACTATATACGTTAAAGGTTAGAAATTTTGATTGAAGTCATTATCTAGGCACGTGAAATCCAGATGATATGAGTGGAGTACGTGGTATCTAATGGGGCAATGAATATTGGGTCTATAAGTACAATATAGGTAAATAAGTAAGTATGATTCAAGAAAATAGGTATAAGTTATGAGATCAAGAGAGTCAACGAAATTAGGTTAATAAATGTATAGTAAGTACAAGGTAAGTATAAAAATAACTCCCATGTAGATATAGAGAAAATAAGAGTTTACTGAGAAGTAAAGAACATCTATTGTCAAAGGATAAATACTATTATATTAAATAATATCGCAGAAACACGTGCATCAGAACCACTCCGACATCAAAACATGGTTAAAAATATAATCAAATCCAACATGTACTAAAAAGAACGTATTTTTGTTGTGCAATATATTTTTTTCAAGTTTAATTGTAGCTTTACCTTCAAATGCAATTTGACCGGACCCTGTTTTGTCCGCTTCCTTAATCATTTCCTCTACTTCCTCGTCGGTCAGTTTCTCTCCGAGATTAATCATCGCCTGTTTGAGATCTGCTGTAGGTATCAACCCATTTCCGTCCTTATCGAACACTCTGAATGCTTCCCGAAGGTCTTCCGGGGTGTCCTTTTCCTTCATAGATTTCAGCATCAATGTGAGAAATTCTGGGAAATCTACCAGACCGCCGCCTGCTAATAAATCATAATGGAATAGATTAACTATTAATTACGTCACTAGAAATATTAATGTGGCCTTTGAAGTCGTCGGACGTCATCCAGTGGAGTCGGTTACCCTCTTGGTTACCATACTCAACCCTCAACTCTTCTAAATGAGATCGCTCTCTTAGACTTGCATTTCACTTTCGGTCAAAGGCCAAGGTCGCTGGTAATATAGATGGAATAAAGTCTGTTAAAAAAATTGCATAAGCCAACCGAATTCACATGCATTTTCCTTAGTGTGTGTGATCAGTATGTACCTACTGTCGGAGAATCGAAAGTCGATGTAATTCTTACTACATGTTTTTGTTTCTACAACTAATGCAAAACCTTAACAAAATTCGTAATCATATATTGTTTCCTCAACAGGTCAAAGGTTAGGACTTAAGGTCAATGTCACTAATTCCTTCAATGTAAAAATTGTACATTTAGTTTGCTTGTCTCTGTTAAAATAACAAATCAAACATTACGTCCTATTTTGAGTGGTTGCTTTTCAAGTGGGAAAGCCATAATTGCTGATAAAAATGCTTCCCGTGAACTCGAGTGAAGTTTGTATGCTTTATTGTCTTACTGGTTTTGTTTTTCGAACCCGGCCTGTTCGATGTATCGTTGACACGATATGATAAACCTTTTAATTGATTTACTATATTAAATATCTGGGGATAAACCCGACATGTTTAAATCTTCTGTCTGATATTCTATTTTGTTGTGATCATCCAATGATTTTGACCCGCTATCCACTCTTGTCCATTTTACTTCATATACAAACATGTTTATTTGTGCTCTAGTTACACCCATCATGAACTGTACAGGATAGCAACTTTACTGATTAACTTTTGATCTTGTTCATTATCAAATTACCGTTTCTACTTCATGACTACCTGTTACAGTGCAGCTCCATTCATTGTCCCTGATGTTGTTGGTACCTAATGCTATTCGTGCAAGTTATTGGTGTTTGTTTAACACCCTGATGTTATATAGTCGTGACCCGATGTGTTTCCTGTCGCTCCAGACCTTGTAAAACGTTATACCTAACGTGATTGTAAAGTCATCGTGTGTTGTGTTTCATATGAGATACTATGGAAGCCTTGTATATTCTATGGAAGCCTTGTGTATTCTGTGGAAGCCTTGTGTATTATATGGAAGCTTTGTGCATTCTGTGGAAGCCTTGTGTATTGACGTTGTTGTGGACTCTTCATCATTGTGGGTTGTGGCAAGGAAGTTTTTGCATGCATCTCGATCGTTATGAAAGAGTGTTTTTGACTCGTAGCGTTTTTGCTGACTTTATGAGTTGTAGTAGTTTGTTATTTTATCAACAGAAGACAAATAAAATACCTTTATCCTCGTTCTCCAGTTCATCTATCCTTTCTTGTAGCTCTCGTTCTGAAGGATTCTGACCTAATGACCTCATTACCATGCCAACCTCCTTAGTGGAGATAGCTCCGTCGCCATCTTTGTCGAACAAACTGAAGGCTTCTTTCATCTCTGTTAAGTAAAATCATAAATAATGATCACATTAATTCCATGTAATGTTTAATCCAGTGATACATTCAGCTGAATTATACTTAGAAAATAAAAAGGTTTATAACATTCTACAGAGACAGACTTCTTTCGTGACTAGGTATTGCTCAATTAAACAGGTCACGAACATATTCCTTAACTTAGCTTAATTACCATAAGAAAGTGTAGTTACACATATTACCTCATTACACCACATACTGTTAATATGTTGATAAAACAATGCTTAATGTACGAGAATAAGTAGTTACATAGTCTAAGCCATCTTCCTGGTGGCGGCTGAAACTTGTTAAGCCAGTATGGTGTAATGTTAGCTTGCTTTGCTCAAAATATGTCTTATTTATATTATTGTTCTTAATTATGTATCATATAAGCACTTCATGTTTGTCGTTCTGTTCAGGGGCATGCCAAAATGTTACCACCATATTGTTTTAGTAGTCTATGTTCTCCATTTTTAGAAAAAAAGTGAATTCGAAGAATGGACCAGATTTTGTTATTATAGTCCATGTGTTTATTCTAAATATATACGTAGGACAACATTGTTATTTTCATGTAGATATCAGCAATAACACTGTTTAGAATCTTAATCTTACCTGCAATCTGATCTTCTGTCAGTTCGTCCGCCTGTAATTTGATATAAATATACTTGTAAGTGGACTATAGAGTGTTAAAACGATTTTTGCTATTTCTCATTCGATGACATTAGACCTATCATGACAACTGTCATTTTCTAATCTGGAGATGAATTACACAATATATTGTTATACTGATAATGATGTCTAATATTTGAATAGATCTACGCCTCCTGTATTTTATTTTTAATTTGAAGATGAAATGATAATGAAATAGATAACAAATTTTGATGTTAAAAGCGTCCTTACGAAGGTCTATTCTGGTGACATTCTTTTCTGAAATTCAACACATTTTTGTGTTGTTTTTATGATATATACTCGAACGATCGTGCTGTGTGTGTTTCAACCAGATTTCAGATAAGTTCCCCCTCCATTCAAGCAATCTCAATGTTCAGAAAGCTCAAATTAAAGCAGACACTGATCTTTAAAAATGAAATAAGATACTTTTTTTTATGTTAAATTCTCGTTATTTCTGTTATAAGTAGAATTTTCCAACATTAAAATGAGGATTAGAAACTATACTTACCATGCTTGTGGTAGCTTTGTGTTATACATAAATTCGATAAGTGCGAAATAATACATATACCGTAACGAAGATAGCATACACACACGTGTGGAAGAATTAGATTTAGAATTACTTGTTAGCTTTATTTTCTCTTGGTGAAATTTAAATGATTGATATATTGATTTGTCTACCGAACGCATTGCTGAAATTCCGGCCAGTATGTAAAGATGATATTGCTTGTATGCATGGTGAAGTTCATTAGATATTTTTTCGACATAATTACTATTTACATGCAGTAATAACGCCGTATCGTATTAAGCATATAAGACACGCTATAACCCTATGAACACAATACCCAGATAATATCACTTAGAATATCTTTCTGGTCCGCTAATGGCTTTAATAGAACATTTAATTCATTCGCAGAGACACGCAGTGTACAGTTTCTTGTGAGTAATTTATTCGTTAAACTACAGTTACATGTTCTCTCGTTTAACCCTGTATACAAATAAAACATTAAGGTAAACAGGACAATTCAACCGTAATTTTATGTAAGCCACACATAACGTATGCAACTTTTTCGTCTATTTTAAGAAACAACATATACGGACCTTATTGAATTATTTATTACAAAGTCTTATTGAATTAATAGTTTAAAGGAAAGCAGTTCAATTTAGAGCCAACAACAGATTAAGAAGAATGATACTAGCTAGCGACTGTCACTTTTCCGTGATGATTGTTCAATATTACATTAATTGTAACGGTTGATTTATTTGTTTTTCTCTGATAAGTTAATGTTAAACCGGTGCCAAAATCATAGAGTATAGAAGTTGGGGCCTCCCGGGTGAAATTTTGTAGTGGCATCACCTTGAAATGCTATATATTTTTTTTCTTTTCCTTTTTAAAAAAAAAATCATTATGTTTTTTAGGATACATAATGGACGCAGGATATAAGCCTCTATGTCCATATCAATATTAGTGTTTTGTTTCACTGTATTTTTATTGCTCCAACAGTGTACATGCAAAGCCATTTTAATATTTGATAGTTCAAGTTAGAAGCACATTAGAGAAAGGATAAAAAATGTAAATATAAAATTTTATTCAATACATTAGGCCTGAATATATCCTTTTAGCATATTGAATAGCCTTCTGTTAGATATCTAATAACTTTAATACATATTCACTTTAATGAAAATTCTGTACATGTGAATAGAATCTACTTTCGGTTTGTACTTTGCCGCCGTTCTCTAAACTATTCGGATTGTTCTCGCGCCATTAAATGGAAGACATCCGAAAAGTTTCGAATGAATAGCAACGTTGTAGCAACGATACCGCGTTGTTAAAGTGCCGCACAGTAATATAGTCCGTGGTATTTTGAAAATCTTAACTAATAACAACACATTTAAATTTCAAATGAAATAATCTATCAATATATTCACTAAAGGTTAGTTATAAATTATGACATTTTAATTCAATATCTTGGTTAGGAGTCGAAAAAAATAAACTGGCGCGTAAGAATATATGTGTTGTTGTCCCGTCACATGCAGTTCATGACGGTCGTCCTATTCCAGTTAGAAAGTGAGAATTGTGATCCGATAAGGAACAGCGGAAGGTAGGAATATGGCTCAAGGCGATCCACAGAAATGGCATTTGCCTGGATGGCGGATTGAACAAAGATTTGCACCCGGTGTTCTAATCGGAAACTGGTCCGAAGAGAGATATACCGTAAGTTTTACAGTAAGATTGCAATAGTAATATGTGAATGTCATATCACAAAAAATGATACTGCACGGATTCTTCCTGTAATAAGATAAACGTTAGAACTTCAGAATTATGCGCATTGTGAATTGTCATGGTACACGAAAATTGGCATACTGGAGACCAATAGAAGCTGTCTGCATGTCCAGCAACAGTATTGTCTTGCAGTGCAATCATTTCCGGTTGCGAAAGAAACCGTGTCGTTTGTGTCAAGTTTCTTTCATGAGGGACTGCATTGATCAAAAGTTCGAGTCTTCTGTGACTCCTACATAAAACGTATCACTTTACCCCAAAACCTACCGGATAAAAGTGACTTAAACCGTACACGTAGGACTTCACCCCTGTATGCTGCAAGATAAAAAAAATATCGGTCAAATCAAAGTGACAGTATCAATCTGGTTTCGTCAAATCTTTGCTATTGTACTTGTAGATTTTTATTTCTTCGTATCAGAATCTCATTTTTGTTTATTTCAGTTCAACAAGGGAGATCAGAAACATAATAGTACACACAGAGCAGATTTTCGTAATTTCAAAGGACACCGTCCCGATGTACTGGTAAGGAGAAAAGCCCTGTTGAAAAACAATGGTCTTGGTCCAGAGCACATATTCTACCATCATGGTAAGCGGTACTGCAACAACACTGTGTCCTGGTATGATGAGCACTACAATGGACGTTGGACAGAGAACAATGATCTGCCAGGATTACGGGACTGGAATAGTCACAAACTGTCATGGGCACCAGAGAGATCTGATTATCCCCTCCAAGGTAAAATCTTTTATCAAATAGCTGTTGTAGAAGTCAATATGAAAGGATAGATACAAATAACATTAAATATGAAAGGTTGAAACACAACAGTATTTATAACTTGAGTAAGCCATTTAAGCAGCTCTTCAAACATGACTCATTAAACCTTAGCAAACTTGATATTTCAAACTATTAATTCATACAACAAACTACAATTTCATATAACAAAGTACAATTTTATATTACAATCTGTGAACTTTACATTCTGGTTTTTTCAATTTAAGGAAAACCAACAAATTTCGGATTGCTTGAACAACTTGAAAACAAATGGAAAAATCAAATTGCTGATGAAACTAGGGGAGACTACTTATCAACCTACCAGAATTCCTTTCTTCAACATCCAACTGACAGTATGGTGAAGGCAAGATTTGCGATTCCGAAAAATATGTCTACAAGTCTTCATCCAGTCAATAAAATAAACAAAGATCTACACCTCAGGAACACGTCCGTATATAAATCTCCAGAAAAGCTTCCAGCTCTGGCAAATGCGTAACAGTTGGAGCTTTAAGTAAATGTTTTTCATCATTTTCGTGTTCAGTTTGGGCATAAACTCATTATACAAAATATATTGGACATAAAGGGTCACTGTGTATTGATATTGCTTTACTAGAAAATGATGGCATTTGAATTAAGTAGCAATTTATAAAGTTAAGTTGGTTTTTTCTTACCTCAAATTAGGAATTCCAGATCAGCAGGTTTGCTACGATTATATATTGATCTTGGTTCGTTCTACTTTGATATTGAATTTGTTATTTGGTATCAAACAATTTAGAGGTTGTGTTAAAAAAAAGTTTAAAAGTTTGGATAAATTTTGATTCTTTTAGTGAACTGATTCCATGTTTAAAATCTTGTACCAATGAATAGATTAAGCTGAGATGAACATTTGTAGATGTTGAATGTCATAATCTTGAAAGAGTGTAGGAGAGGAAACAAATGATGTAACATATTTTTTTGGAATCAGGTATTACAGTAGCAGTGCCTAGCTATGAACAGCATTAAAATATAAATTTCCTGTAATAGTTGATATTTTTAACACTTTTTAAACTCTTGAATGTTTGTGATAACTTTTAATCCACTTTCTATTTTTTCCCAATTTAAAATGAATATCTTTTAGGAATTTGAATATATTTACAATTTCAGCTACCGGTAATTAGTGGTTATCTTATTAAGTTTTAGTTCAATGTTTCTCTGTGAAATATGTTTTTCATTTTGGTGTTTTCAAGTGAGAATTTCATTTTGAGGTTGATCTTATATCAAAGTTAATCTACTAGATCAAAGTCTGTTTTTCTTATAAATATCTTTACATAAGCTTTAAACCATATGTGTGTTTCTGCACCCCTTTTTTCTAGTCTTTGTGCAAAAACTTCATTTTCCCATTGAAAGACTATTTATTATCAATATATTTACATATATTGCCCCACTGTTTTTTTATTGTACAGTATTATAGACATTACACTGTCTTTTTGCTACTTTTAAGTTTTTTCTTGCTGTGATATATTTCAGTCTATGTAATATTTTTTAATCATGTTTAAAATAAATTGTATACGTAATAAACACTCTGAAAATTTAGATTAATTCCACGTACTCCAAGAGTTTCAGTATTCCTGTAATGAATAACTAAGGTTTAGTGTTAAGTTCAGATACCTGGTCATAGATTAAAAAATTTCATTTGTAAACAAAGAAAGGAAATTCTGATACAATCAGAAATGTGAAGATTTGGCAAGACGAAGTAATGTTGTACAAAGCAAGATTGTCGAAAAACAAACCTTTACAGGACTCTTCTATTGATGCTTTTTCTCTTATTGGAGTGTGCACATTGATTTTGTAATACTGGCTTATCAGGTATATGTTGATATGTTACCATGGAGATGTGGAGAATCCCTGCTCTATGATAAAACAACAGTTACTATACTCAGTAGAAATTAGCTTATGTTTGTCTTCAGTATTAACTCAAATTTTACATGATTTAATGTTAAATACTTGAATGTGTTATACATATATTAGTTTTGAAATTCTTGAATCTCTGTGATAATGAAATAATCTCAATCAATAATACGTAGCATGCTCAACGTTGTTGCACAAGTCTAATGAAATTAGAAGAGAACAACAATATACATTATCTAAGTACATGTTTTACTGACCAGATCTCAGTATATGTTGAACCAAAAACATTACAGGTATTGTAGAATTTAAAACTGTTGTAATTGTTACAACTGTTACAGTACATTGTAGTTTCATTTGATAAAAAAATAATTTATTAATCGATACAAAATTTAAGAAAACTTTTTAATCTAAAAAAAGTATTTTAATTCATGGTTTGGGAAGTAAATATTAGATTTTTTATTGACTTTATAATAATATGTTTATCTAATATTATTGTACTCTTTAACAAAAATATTCCATCCATCTGTTTGAACAATGGAATCTTCCTGCTTCTTCTAAGAAAGCCTGGAGTATCAAATCATTAGTGCTGGACAAGATTCCATTGTAAACAGAAAATTATAATTATATATTAATTGCATATTTATCCACTTTGCTCAAGCTTGATCACTATACTCTCACTAGGTGGAAGTTATGCATCATAAAGATTTATTTAAAGATATATTTCTATATAATCTCAGCTGTAGATATTGTTGGCTTTTTTTTTTGGTTTTTATTGTTGGTTGTTACCCTTTCCTACTATAGTCTATATCATCACCAGTATTATCAGTTTCACAGTATTGTTAAGACATCAAGTTGTGGTGCACACTGTCTGATGTAAGAATGAACCACCTAGGTTTGTGTGTTACAATGAACATAGTATTACATTGTTACTATCTTATGTTGGCTATATATTATATGAAAATGAAATTTTATATGTCCTTAATCTACTACATTTCTTTCATTTTTTTTATAAAATCAGTATTTTATCTCATGATCTATTAAATTTTCTTAAAGAATTATTTACTGTTTTTACACAGATCTCCTTTATCGCATGATATCACTATGACTTTAAATTACCCATAATTCCAATTTGAATATAGCTGATACTCTATTGTACCAAAAGTGAACTTTTTCACAACTTCCCTTAAAATCTTTTCTTTTTAAGACTGATTGGAATTCTAGATATTTGTTTCACTGAAAATTAGTTATTGAAACTTTCTGAACTTTTCATAAGCTCAGATCTAAAATTATATATCTCTCCATATATATTGTCAATGAGAAAAGTTTACCTGTAGAAATACAAGTTTCCACAACTGTGATACAATGTATGTAACTATTTATATGTGTGTTACAACAACAAATAGATTGTTAAAGTAGTATACATGTGTTTGTTTATTTTTTATAGTCTTTGCTTTAAACAAAGCATGTTAATACCTGTTAACTTTTCAGATTTAAAATCCAGAGAAAGCACTTGGCAAAATCGAAATCACGTTGAACATCCATATCATTGGGTATGATCACCCCCCCCCCCCCCCAAAAAAAAAAAAATGAAATATTGCTTATTTCAATTATGCTAATGCAAAGTACCAATTTAACTTCAGGGTTCAGGGAAGATTAAGGGTAAATACAAAATTCACATACAATAATATGAAACTGAAATTTTGGAGAGTCCCATAAAATTTGGAGAAGTTTACAGGTATACATGTCCAACACAGCTTCACAAAATTACATCTTCTGATGAACAACTATTTAGACAAATAAATCTTTCCACTTGGGCAACCTGAGTTTGATTCTCCAATTGCATGTGGAAAGGTATGGGGTCACCTACCAAATCATGTTAATTTTCTTTGTGTATTCCAGTTTTCTCTGATAGCAAGACCCCTCATACCCTTCAATCCTGAACAACATGAGAAAGCAGTATCAGCTTGTTTCACTATTGTTGTAAACTAAATGAAGCTTGAAGATTTATTGAAAGTCTTCAAAAAAAGTTTAGAAGGTGGGACCAGATGTGTAGCATTCCAAACTATTTGTGAGGCTGAATCAAGGAAAAAAAAAACAAGACTGCATTCTGTTTTATTTAGGTTTTATTTCTGGAAACACGACACAATAAATTAAGAAAAACATTCATGCAATGGAATGGAATGATGAAACATAGATGGTGGATGGGATATGAAACATAGAAACAAAACACCAAACAGCTATGAGAAGAACAGATTTTGTCTGTGAGACATGGAAACTCTGGAATCATGCACCTTGTTTGTAGAATAAGAAAATGGTAAAATTTCCCATTTCCAACCTCTCTCATACAAATCACATCATTAACCCATGTTTTCTTACACACAAACACTCAAATAAATACTGGTATTCACAACAAATTTAACTTTTTACTTAATCGGAAATTCAGACGTCTCCTATCTAATATCTTCACTCTGGTCTAAGAAAAACAAAGAAAAACTCTTCAAAAGTCAAAAATCATAAAACAGAAGAAAAATCAGTTATTTTATTGTATATTCATCAATTTTAAATATTGATTGATAAAAATTCTTTATTTTATTTTGACACTTCCTTAATATTTTTGGGGGTAGTCAATGACAACATTTTCTATAAAAGAGGTTATATAAAATAAAGAAACCAAAAAGTGTTCCTTTATAATCTGATGGAAGTAACTCCACTCTTGAAATCATTATCTCAGGACTTATCTGTATGAAAAAAAAAATCCAGTACTATGACATTCAAGTGAAAAAAGTATATATCTATATGCATAAAAAAGTATATATTTATATGCATATCCTATATATACACAAGAAAAAAAAAATTTTTTTGTATTACAACAAAACCACCACTAAATAACTAAGTAAGATTTATCAAAAGGTTTCCTCTGAGTATAGTTTAAACCATGATTATAAATGGGATGTAATTAAGCACAAAAATGTGTTGGACAAGATATCACACAATACTTGTGAACGTGACATGAATGCTCATACAAACTATACAGCAGTCTCAGCCTCTCATTATTCTACACTTCATCAACACAACACATGTACAATAAATCTGTATTTAAATGACTTGGGAAGAAAATGACAAAAACTTTATATCTCAAAATTTACATTATCTTCTAACATTAATAGCATAAAATGATTGTGTATGGTAATTTAAATGTTAAAAATAAACAAAGGTAGAAAATCTGATTTCATTTTTTTCTTCTTTATAGAATAGAGAAATTTTAAATAGATTTTCAACACTTGTCAGTTTGACCTCAAATGAAGTTCCTCTTCAATGACATTCACATGGTATCTCATTCTAATCAAATCAAGTTCTTAAATCACAAATGGAATTTTTTATCAGTATTTGTCCAAGTCAAATTCCATATTTGTTATTACATGTGAACCTAAAATACAAAAATCTACACTGTGACAAACAGTGAGAATCGTCACAGGAAAGGCAACTGCCATGTATGTCTGGCTCGAAAGGATGTTTTGGTCAGGAAAACACTGATTTGACCACTCAAAGGAACAAACGATTTATCTAATAAACTTGTCTATCTCTGACATCACATCAGTAACTTGATTTATCTAATAAACTTGTCAATCTCTGACATCACATCAGTAACTTGATTTATCTAATAAACTTGTCTATCTCTGACATCACATCAGTAACTTGATTTATCTAATAAACTTGTCAATCTCTGACATCACATCAGTAACT